CCTCAATAATCAGCCTACTATCAGTGGAATGATGAGGAATGTGCCTGAACTGTCAGCCAAGTCGCCTTGTAAGACAATGAATGTCTCGATGAACAAACCTCAGCACGTTCCTCTAAACCTTCATCACAGTTCTCCAAGACCATAGTAAGAGGTGGAAGACCGAAACAAAAAAAAAGTCAGGTGGATGCTTCGAAATCTAGAGAAGTGGTGAAACTTCAATTCCATGTAACGGTCGTTGAACTGCCACACGCGGCGAATTGAAAATTAGAACTTATAGCCATTGGCTCAAGGCCAGGAAAACTAACTACCCTGCTTTTAGACTTCCCTACGATCGGAACAAACCTGAAAGTGCTTCGGAGACAGCAATCTATATCAAAGTAACAGTTTCTAGGAAACTACAAAAATGTCATTCACTCTTGCTTAAATTGGGTTAAAACTCCTCATAAAGGTCTCGAAATACCTTAAGTACACAATCTTTATTAAATAAGTAAATAATTCATTAGGTATGTGGGTTTAAGTTTTTGATGAAGAAACTAGTTTTGATCCATCCTGTATGCATCAACTCTCAAGCACACCCACTACATCCTAGTCGGTAAATAACTATGAAATAAGGGCTAATTTCGTAATTCAGGGCATAATCACTTAGGTCGCGGAAAACAGTTACGTGGGTTCCTAACTGTTTTCTTCAATCACACCACCAGGTTGCCACATGCTCTTCGTTTTTTTAATTAAAGTTTTTGCCTCATGTTGATGGAATTAATCTGCGGTTCAGTTACAATACACCAATCATAAACTTAAACTATAAACTATCGCAATTATACCAAAAACTTTTTTCTTAATGATCTCTAAAGCTTTCCTTGCCAACTTATTAGGGTTACGCAGTCGAACTGAAAGTCAAAATTGCTCAAATTTGAGCCAGCAAAAACAGAATCAGTGGGCAGTATAATGAAGCCAAGTTGAGATTGCTTTATTTCAAGCAGTCTATAAACTGGTCGGATCAGTTATGCTGATCGATTAAATATTTGTTTTTTAGGTATTAGTTATTGATTACGACGACGCCGGATCAATTACAAGCCTTAACTTGGAACCCATATTTTCACTCAGACTAAATTTTTCTTAATATTTTCATGGTTCATATTCAAAGCTGTTATCCCTGTATCTTATATAATTCATTAAAATTTTTCGAGCTAAATCATTAAAATTTTTCGAGCAAACAAATTCAGTTGAAACCATAATATTGCAGTTTGATCTCTAGTGCACGCTCAAGAAGCTATTCCGATTAAAAACCCAGCACTAAAACCTTTGTAACTACAATTTTTTAGTCCTCTTTTTTTTTTTCATGATATGCGTAGTTCTTCATAGTTTTCGTTATTGAGTTCTTGTTTTGCATTCCGTTTATGTTTTTCACTTCACTATAATTCAAGCAACTTTATAACATGATTAGATTTTTCTAGAGTCATAGAAGGACTGTTGCCCGAACCGAGCGCCCATAGATCATAATCGATTATATTGTCATAATATGGTCAGTATTTATAAAATTACAAAAAAAAATCGATTTTAATCCATTAAAAACGGATTATAATCCTAATATTTTTTATGTCAAAATATTCCATTATAATCGATTTTTATCAATACAAATGAATTATAATCCTTACATTTTTATGCCAATAATTCAATAATTCATTATAAGCGACTAATTTTGATTATAATGGATTGTTAAGAGAGGTCATTCATGAAAATTGCAACTTTTTTCAAAGTTATCTAATTTCCTGTTTAGTGCAGTTGCTGCGTAATACGTTTCATAAAAAGTTACATTTCTTATTGAAATTTATTAATTTTTTTGTCTTATATATATGCTGATTGAATCCCCCTGTTTATTTTAATCCCCCCTGTTTACTTTAATCCCCCCAGTTTACTTTTCCACCCCCCGTTTACTTTACCCCCCCCCCCCATGCTTCAATTCCCCCCAAGTTTACCCTCCCCCTCACGTTTACACCCCCCCCCCATTTACACCCCCCCCCTCCCTGCTAGCTTACCTCAACCGCCATTCGCCTCCCGAATTTTGGTTGAACACGGGGGGTGTGTTATTTATTGGTAGACTTTGAGAATGGGGAGGGGGTTAATGGTCATCTCTCTTTAGTTGGGGGAGGTAAAAAACTTGAGGGGTGACGTTGAGACTTGGCATTTACTAAAAAAGAAAGCACACATTTTGCAAATTTTCTGCAAAATTTGCAGAATCTCTGCAAAAGACTCTAGTTTAGTGCCAAACATAATGTATTATAATCAATTCTAATGGATTTGTTTTCGAAAAAAAATTGATTATAATGGCGATATAATCAACTTCGTGGTCTGAAATTTACATATTTAATAGATTTTAATGGATTATTTTTGTCTCGGGAATCTTTTGTAGTCGATTAAAATCCATGGGCACTCGGCTCGGTGCGGGTGGCAGTCCAGAGACAGTCATGATTTATTACACCAACACGTTTCAATTTTTTTTGCTTCGGTCACTGAGTGTACATTCTTTGAGGGTGAAAACTAACTCATTCCCAATGTGATTCAAAAGAAGTTGAGCTAAAAATTCCTATGACTAGTAACTAAAATACACTCTACTCTCTTAATTGAAAGAGCGGAAATTTTTTTGAAAGATTGCAAACCAAATATAAAAACGAGTATTTTTTTGTCTTTTTTTTTTCAAATTTTTGAATTTTTTAGTGTGATCGGGGCGTTCTACTTCTGGCTGTTTTTTTAGGTAGTTCAACCATACTGAACTTCAACGTGAGAATGGAAAAAACAACCCAAGTCTGTCAATCTGTGACATCTTTGAAAACTCTTGAAGAATCTTAGAGAATCTCGACGAATCTTCAAGAAAATTCAAAACATCTTAAAGAAAAAACAAAAATAGCAAAAATAGACAATTTCCAAAGAAAATGGGTGATTTTGCTTTCAAGATTCTTCAAGATTTAAAAAACTCTTCGTACTTCTTTTTGAAGAGAAAACTTTTTCTTTTTTCAAAAAAAAAACATTTTAAAATTCTCCAGAACTCGGATTTAAAAATGAATTGTTAAATGAAATATTAAAATGAAATTGCGCAATGAAATTATAAGCAAACCAATGAAATTGTGCGCATAACTAATAATCATAAGAAATAAAATCAGACTAAAAATTTTGAAAATTTTTGGATCTATATTAGTTTTAAAGCAATTTTAGACAAACAGATGAAGAATTTTAATTCAGCAAACTAAGCGCCTATGTGTGGTTTAAAAACATTATTTTTTAAAATTTTCACAATAAAAGACTTCAAAAAAATTCGCAAGGGAAAAAATTTTACAAAAATAAGGATGATTGCTAGTTCAATGAAAATTAGGACAGTCAACGAAAACATTATAGGAATCAAGTAAAATTTTTGATGTAAACGTTAAAAATAACGAACAGTCTCGAAATGGTTTTTTGCAAAAGTTGAGCTTTTTTCAAAACTTTTTGATGATCCTCATTTGCAAAACATTTTCGGGCAATCAGTTAGAGCATATTGTGGATCAATTTGCTTGTTTTTTTTCAAAAAAACTTCTTTTTGCTTTTTAGATTATGATTTGATTGATTGCCCTAATTTACTTTGGAACTGATAGAAATTACAAGAAGATGGACATTTTCAATTTTTGTCGGAAAATTCCCCCTTTTAAAATATTTTTCATCATACAGATCAAAAAATAGAAACCAGACATATATTTCGAATAATCATACAAATACTTTTCGTATGTTAACCATAAAAACAGTAATTCGACCATAAAAAATTGAAAAAAAATTAATAAAATGTAGATTACTTGACAAATTTCTGTAAACCTTGTTTCTATTCTTGATATTGTTACCTCTTTTTGGCTGAGAAAATTTTTTGCAAAATTGTTCAAGAAAACTTTTGACTGACTTTCATAGAAATCCATAAAGATCTTGAAAAATCTTCAAAAAGTTTTGAACAATCTGAAGATCTTTCCAAGATTTCAAGAAAATTTCAAATTCACTTGGTGGGCTGCAGAACCATCATACAGGTTTCTGGGAATGTGTTCATGGTTTTTCGACTGTTAAAAGTCTTATAAACTTAAAGTCTTAAAAACTTAAGACTTAAAACTTAAAACTTAAAAGCCTCATAAAAAAATTAAAGCTTCTCTGCTATCTTTGATGCTTCTTCACGATTCTTCAAGATCTTGGAAAGTTTATCAAGATGGCTGCACCTGAAAACTTTTATACAGAAGAAAAGGAGCAGATATACAACATTTTAACAGTTATCAGGCCAGCGAAATTTGATGTTGAGAAAAAGTATACCCAAATAAACTGGGAGGATTGCGTTAGCTTAAAATAAATATGAAAAAAAACCTTATTTTATTTTAATCTTTTAAATATCTAAACGTGTCCCAAAACGTGTCAATTATAGCATGAAAAAAATGCTAACTTCGTTGTTCTCAGAATTGTTTTGCTCTGAGTTGATTTTGCCGGGTTAAGTATCTTCCCTGGCCTCCAGATCCCAGGGGGTTAGCTTTAAAGTAGGCTGTCTCGCAAATCTAGCTCTGCTAAAGTGCTATTATATTAGTTGCGGCTTAATCTAGTGGCGTTGCCGTTGTTTGCGTTCCACTTTTCTAAATTATTCTCGAGCTATGCAAACTTTAAAATGGGTTTCGCGGAACTGGCCTGAAAATCTGATTTCTTTCAGTTTATTATTTTTAAATTTCGGGTTCGGCGTATTGATTTTGAGATCAAAATGCAAAAATAGTTCAACTGCATTTGGTATCAAGACTTGAGAGTTTAATGCTATTCAGTTCTTCTGCATGCAGTTGCAGCGACCGTTTTTTATTGCCAATATGGTCACTTCAAACATTTTGGCATTTTGTTCTCACTGTTATCTTTTTCTAGCGTTCTCATTCTAGTATTGAATTGTTTTCGATCTAAATATACCATTTGACAGTTTTTTTGTTCTTTGTTCACTATATCTACTGCATGTGTTCAACAGTACTTCATTCACTGTTATATAAATTTACTGGTCGGAAAAGGGCAGAAAATGAATGTCAGCGACATTCGAACTTGTATCCGTCACTTTCTCGGAATCTTTCTGTCAATTGTTGTCGGACATTCGGTCGCACTCGAAGGATTTCTCTTCAATTTTGTCGGATCCGAATCTAGTTTCAAATGTGTGTTTTACATGAGCGCGTGGCTTATGCTATCAACAATTCCATTGTTATGTTTCTCCAGGAAGAAACTTGGATTTGACCTTGAGAATTTAATAAATATTCTGGTATCTTCAGTGGGTTTGGGAGTCGCAATGGTTTTATCGCTGTCTGCATATAAATTTGCCCCTGTTGCAGATGCATTTACGCTCTATTATTCAAATGCAGTTTTTAGTTTAGTCTTAGAGAGCTTCGCATTTAGAGTTTATCCTCAGAAGTGAGTATTTACTTTTCTGTATGGCCAATCTAGCTTAACCCATTTAGAACGGTAGAAATTGTTTCTATCATTTTTGAACTAATTTTTTTTATCTTGAGTCGGAAACTTGAGTCGGAAATTTTTTAAAAAAATTAGGTTGATATTTGAAAAACATTTCCTTATTTGACTTTGTCTTACCGCTGAACGATCGGTATGTTTCGACCGTGCTTGAGATACGTTTCGACCTTGATCGAGATATGCTTCAACCGTGCATGAGGCATGTTTCGACCATACTCGAAGTATGTTTCCACCGTGCTCGGGGTATGTATTGACTGTGTTAGGACGAATTTCAATTTCGACCATTATTTCGGTATGTTTCGAATTTGTGCTCGACCCGAATCCCTGTATCGACTATTCCTTTTTTGACGAGCATTTGACAAAGAGCAGACTTATCAAAAAAGCTCCTAAAAAGCGGCATCCAAAACTAATGCTTACTCAAATGTGGTCCCAAAGAGTGCTTTACAAATTAAAAGTCGTATTTTGGGATAAAATGCTTCTTTTTTTTTCAGACTTCACATCCTTGCAATCTTTCTGACTCTTCTTGGAATCATAACAGTATCCCAGCCTCCCTTTATCTTCAATCACTTCCAGTCAGACTCAGCGGAGTCAGCGGAGTCTCAAAATGATACCCTAGTTGACACCCGTTTTCTGGGTTGTGTGCTCGCAGTTGCAGCTGCAATTACGACCAGTGTCTGGATGCTGTTTCTGAGGAGAATCGAAAATCTCAACATCACTTTTATCACTTTTCTACAGGCGTTGGTTCCTGTTTTGGGCTACAATGTGTTTGGAGCGTTTGCGTCCAACAAGGAAACGTTTTGTATCAAAGGTACAGTTTTCTGAAGAAATGCATTAAAAGACATTCAAAACTTCTGGTTTTATTTAAAATATCAAGTTTTGGAGAACCAGCACGTGATTCGATCAATTTTTTTGTTTTTAAATGTTTACTTTGAAACGGTTCGAAACAAGAGCAGAATTTGGCAGGGGTGGCGCTGGGTGGGGACGAGTTGTCAGCTAGAACTTCATCCTTTCATTGACGTGACATATAGACACCACTCATGGATCTTCCCTCGGTACCATTTTTCGAAGATCATCTTTGTTGTATAAAAATAATATATATTTGAGGGAGCACGAGCTCCGAAAAAAAAAACTTTTTTTTTCCGTGCAAACTATTTGAAAAAAAGGTCATAAAGCGTTATTTGACTGACATTATTTTTTCTGTTGCAAAATGGGGTCTGTTTTTGTGTTTTCCTTATCTAGATAACTTAAAAAAAGGTCCACAATTTTTTTAAAAGAGGGAAACTCTTTTGCAGTGGCCAACGCCTGAATTTTTCTGAGGGCGGTATAAAAATCACCCCCCCCCCCTCCCCGGCATGCTACTTGCTCTGCCCCCCCCCCAAGCTGTCAAAAATCAAGACTATTTGTGTACGACCTATTGAATAATCTCGATTTAATTTCAGGAAATCTGTTTGCGATGAGTCTGCTCTGTATCAACTACTGTGTCAATCTGCCCCTGCTTAACCTGTGTCTGAAATTAGAGCCCAGCTATATTGTCACTTCTGTCAGGTGCATAGCTACAGTCACCTCATACGTCATACAAGTTAGCTCAAATAACGGTGGTCGAACTTAAATATTACTATGGGATCAAATATTGAGTGAGTGTTTCGGAACACAGGCGACGATTTAAGGCTTAGGGAGAGCGCTTAAACATTTGAGCACACACTTTCCATGTTATAAAAAGCTGGTTTTCAAGCAATATTTGATAAAACTCATCCAAAATGGTTTTGTCTGCGTCCCGCGGTGCCCATCCGAGGACCGACTTAGAAAATCTTATAAAAACAAAAGATTTAGAAAATAAAAAATACTTTGGTAAAAGATGACAAAAAAATATACCCAAAAGTGGCGTAGGATCGAGTTTTTAGGGGAGCGTCTATGTTCGCAGGAAAAAAGCTTATGGGGGTATTTCTTGTGGGTATGATTGGTGTATTTAAGGGACGCCTTTTTTCACATTTGCGATCCAGTTTTTCAATGATTTTTTTCCAGGTATTGCGAGCCGAACAGGCGTTTTGGTACTACACTTGTTTTCAATGATTTTGGGCTCTTTTTCCTTTTCCCGCCCCACCTGCAAATTTTTACATGTAAATTTGTTGACCACAGTCCGATTGCTATGAAAATGTACATAAAGACTAATAAGGTCACGACAAACATATTTGGTCTTCATACTCAACCTCGTAAAACCACTCGTTACACTAATATATTGAAGCTCGTGTGAGGGGGGGGGGGGGGAGGAAAAAGAGCCTGATTTTGTTTTTCTCCAGGTATTGCGAGGCGAACAGACATCTTGGTACACCTTCATGGGCGCATCCTTCATCGTAGCATCTGTTTTGATAGTCTCATTCACCAAATGGAGAGACTCAGTTGCCATACAAACATCGATAAGAACAAGGCGCAACTCTAAAACTGCCGAAGATTTTTCGTTTGAGCTAATGAACTGAGAACAAATTGTGTTAAATTAAATTTATTATGTGTGAAAACTTATTGCTTGCCAAACTTATATGAAATTTTGCAGTTTTCAACGTTAAAATGCCTCGTTTGAAGATCACGGAGGCATTTGTTATAAAGACTTTTGAGTGTTTTAACTATCAATAATCTTATTCAACAGGCTGGTACTAATCAATCCAACAATTTTTGTTTCAATTGCAACAACATAGTTTTGCATTTTAGATAAGTTTATTCAATCAAAAAAGAGGGCTTGAACTGTTTAACGAGGAGCAACAGTACAAGGAACTGACGTTTGTATTAACCGTTATCGTTAGTTACGAAAACAAAGCCCCGGAAAAGCCTGCTAACCTCAATTATATATTCTTATCATTATGACATTTTCCTACTTTTATTGAATCATTTGTCAATCGCACAATTTGTGCTTATATTCGACAAACAATTAAACAATAGGCTGAATACTGGATAATCCGTATGGTACAAAAAACATTTGAACTTCAGCATTTCCTTTTGATCATGACCAAATTGTTTTTCTTCCGACTGCTGAAAGTGGCGAATAGCTTTGTCTTCGGTTTGGTTTTTTTATTTTTTCCACTTTAAAGTAACAAATACTACAAGCATTTTCAAAAAACTGTTGAAGTTTTGAGAAAATTCGATTTAAAATTTTTGAGTTTCAATAGAATTTCGAGCCAGTGAAGCAATCCAGTAACGTTCGTAATATATAATAGGGTCATTTAGGCGAAGAAAACTTGATTTTAGTATAACAGAGTTTTAAGAGATTTATTAAGCGCTTTCCGCATCAAGTCTCAAGCGCTAATTATCGATTATGCTATATCTTTAGCACAGGTTTTAATAAAACAGAAAAAATTGATTTTATTCAGTTGAAAATCGATTATAATTTTTTTTGAAACCAAATTTTAATCAATTATAATATATTTCAATCGATTATTAAACCATCTATTTTTCAATACAATTATATTTGATTATAATCGATTATTTTTATCCCAATTTCTAAATCATATGGTTTGCACAAAAAAAAATCCTTTATGATTGATTATAATCCCTTGTTTTGCCCATTTTTCATTCAGTATTGCATCTGAATCAATTCAAACTTATAACGATTTTTTTTTCATTTCTTCTCGATTAAAGTTGTTTGAAGACGAAAATTTAGCACCAAAACCCTAGCACTTTGCTTTTGTTTCATGATTCACTTCGAAGTTTTTTTCTTCTACCGCGTGAACCTTTCTGCTAATATGACGGGAGCTCTACGAAGCTTTTGTTTCGTGGTAAAACTGTGTGTTCAGATGAATCAAAGTGTGACAAGACATCTCAAATTAGGGGTTTCGTCGTTCCCCTTACAATTGATTTTTCTTGTATAAGAACATTTTGGCAGAAACAAGGATGATAGTCTATTATAATAGATTATGACAGATCATAAAAAGTTTTCGGAAAAATTATATCAATTATAATTAGTTATAATCTGTTATAATATCACAAGAAAGGTTATCATTATAATGAAGTATGAATCGTTTAAGCAATTAAATTTGGCGCTAATTTTTTTTTATAATTTTGATAAATGTACAATTATAATTGTAATATCATCGATTATTTTCTGTTTTTACTGAGTGCAGGTTCTTTGGTATTGAAACTTTGCAACATTTTGTGCCAAAAACTAAGAAAAATTTTAAGACAATTTTGCATTTTTTGTTTGTTATTAATTCATCGAAGACAAATCTTGTCGATTTTGCTTAGTTCACTAATGTTCTACGCTTTCGTATAAGTCTCCCAGCACACCACCACCACAAAAAAGACAGTAATTTGAAGAAAAAAGAAACAAATTATTATTCGTAGTGTTTTATGGTCGGAGAATTTTGGATATCTTTGATGCTATTACAATTCAATTGATCGCGTCTGTGTTTTAACTCTAAAGTGTTTTTCGTTTACTAAAAAAAGGAATCAAAAGTCTTCCTATGCAATTTTAATATTTTGAGGTCACAGGATGCATTCGAAAGAGGGAGAACAAAAAATTATACGTCATGAATCGCTTGCTATGAACAAAATAATGCCCCAATGAAAATTAACAAAAAGTATATTCAGAAATAATGTTTCTTTAAAACTTCAACCAGATTCTAAACAATGAATTTCAAACAATAGCATGCGGTCAAAATTCTTTTTTGGTGAGTCTTGCTGAGGACGCAAAAACTCGTTTGCTCTGTCAACTCTCAAAATAGCGGGAAAGAACTATGAAGTATGGTAGTAGTATTGTATCGTGTCCCGAATCCTAAAGGGGTCCTTCCTAGGGGGGAGGGGTCCTCACGTAAAGCAAAATCCTAGGAAGTGGTTCCTTATTTTTTTGAAGGACCTTCATCCTAGGGCTTTTTAAACGAAATAAAGTATCTAAACAAATAGCAGAAGACCCTTGACTTAGGGTCTTGCTAAGCTTAGCTTAACAACAATGGATCAAGTTATTTTTTCCCCAGTTTTTTCCACAGTTCTTACAGTTTTTTGTTCAAAGTTTGAAATGGATTTAAGTTTTCCCGGCCTAAATAAAAGCTTATCGTCCTGTTACAAGCCCGCATTTGAAACCGGTTTTTCTCGACACTCCGGTTTTTCTCGACACTCGATTTTTTTTGACACGGTTTTTCTCCGAGAAACTTGTTACGTTCATAGTTAGAAGCATTTTTCGAATCACGACTGAAAGGGATTTAATATGATATATCATTCGACCTTGCGTTGAAAAAAAGGCCAATACACCTGACGACAAACATCTTCTCTACTTTCAGTGATCGGAACAATAAATAACATCCAGCAAACGTTTGATTAAAAACTCGTCCGCGCCTAACTTATTTCGTGAAAAGCTAGCGGATTCCGCAAAAACGCCCACTTTTTTTATTTTTCTTTGATTTCGTGCTTCCTTTGCTTATGCCGACAAAATGTCAACATCTTTAAAAATTTGTCTCCAGTGAAATATACACCAAACGGTGCGCCTTTCCGGTGCTCAGTTTGGCCTCGTAATGTTGCTCACAAAATTGATTTGATTGAGTTTTTCTATTAATAATATTTTGATATGAAGCTTTTCAATTTATTAAGTGTAATGCAATGCAAGCTAAATTTCAATTCGTTAGTTGCTTTTAGGTTTTTCGTTCAGACATAACTCGCGAGATGCCGTTTTCTAGCGACGCCTACAGAGTACTCGCAAACAACGGGCACTTTATGCTGCTCATCCGAACATTTGATGTCATTCAACCCCTTCCCTTCTTTGACTTCGCTGCATTTTTCCTCTTTCAAATCATCACTCGGCTGTCCATTCATCCAGAGATGTTCAGGAATTGGTTTGAAATTGGAAAAATATGACCAAATAGGAGGACTGACTGGAAACCCACTGTCAACTATCTTCAACTGGATCTTGGCAATCCCAGTCCAGAAGTTTTGAGCTTGGTCTCGCTCAGCTATTACATTTCTGTAGTACTGGTAGACTTTGTCCAGTTCGTATCTTGACTGAGGCTCAAAATTGATTCCATTTCTAAAAACAGACGGAATTAGTTCTCGGAGTCAAAATTTTAAATCTGCATAAAAGCCGATTATTCATCATTAAAGTTACATTACTGGAAAAACATATATTTTAAATTGCCTTTAAGTAATAGTATTTTAGCGAAAAATAAATGAGAGGCTAAAAAACATATCTGCCTTCACCAGATGCAAGCTTGTACCTGTCCAGTGCGGACCTGATTTTGCAGACATTTTTTAAGGTCGAGTTCTTGGTTTTCCGAAATCTCCGAAAATACTTTACGGACCCAATTGTGTCAAAATTTTGCGCGGCAGGCAACTTTAAAAAAAACGGCCAAAAAGGATGTCGTTAAGTTATACCAAAGGGGACCCTTTGGATAAAATTGGCTACAAGAGTTGGGGGGGGGGGGTTGGAGTAGGAGTACGAGCGGTTGCTACTACTGTACCTATATATAGCAATTTTTCATTTTTATTCTGCTAATTCATGATTGGATTTTTCGTGCAATTAGTTAAATGGTTATGCATATTAGCCAAATTGCACTCCTCATACACACTTTACTTGAAAAAATTAACCACAGATGAAATTTTCTATATAAAATCTTGAAGGCATCAATACTTATGGAGGCTCTCTTTTCCCTTTACCCCACTTTCGATTTTCCTTTAACAAATTTTAGCTCTTTTCCCTCCCCCACCCCTTTTAAAATTCAATTTTGAGAACTTATAATTTGGCAAAGTGAACAAACTCACAATTGTGATGCAAAGTATGAAGAACAGATTTGTTCTTCATACTTTGCATTGTAATATTACGCGTTTAGCAATAATTACACGTACAAAAACTACAAAAAATCAATATTTCGAATGGTGGAAGCGAGCGTGGAAAAAGCTTCAGTTTTTATTAACGCCCAATAGCTATAAAAGTTGGCATACTGACTAATTCAGCTGTTCTAAAAATATTCTATCTTCAAAATTGACATTCAAATAATTTGAAGCTAAAATGAGGCAAAAGAAGTTGTTCTGAAACAAAACAATTAAACCAAACTTAGTCCGCTCCTTTTGTCAAAAATTCTCATAGTCTTGCAAAACCGAAAGTAATAAAAAAATCTAAAAAAAAAATAATAAAAGATTCGAAATTTTATATACATTTTGTTTGTATGTTATCTACACCAAGTAAAATGAAGCAATACAGTAGTTACCCACGCCAGACAACTGGTGTGGGTAATTTATTGTGTGCTGAGAACTTAATTGTTTTCAAAAGCACCGGTCACAAGTAACAAGCGTACTGAATTAAGAGGTAAAAACATCAATCTTTTGATATTAAAAAAATCCAAAACAAAATTCTTTTTGTTTTTTTTTTTCAAATATTTTGCATAGAAAACATAACTAATGCCGAAAAAATTTTTTCTGGGAAAGTTGGAACATTCAAATATCGGCGTTTTTTTTCTACTTTAATGTCAAAAAGTCGATGTTTTGAACAAGTGCTGGACATACAATTTTTAAAAATTTTCCTGAGGGAATTTTTTTTCTCGTGTTATAGAATTGTATGGCTAGCATTTTTTGATCCAAAAAATGCTAGCATTTT